CCCAAGATCCATGGGATTAGTATTTCCCTGTATGCCAAGCTTTCTTCTGACTGTTCTTCACCCCTGCTGGTGCAGCAGGAAAACCTTTCTTTCCGTGCTGTCTGGTCTGCCCTAAATTGCAGTCAATAGCCTAAGGCCTATTTTCATGTCACAGTGTGTCCCAGACTTCCAATGCAAGTGTTAAGCAACAAGGTCCTGTGAAATTGCCAGCACAGTAGAGCAGCTCCTTGATGATACACTTTTATTTTTCTCTCTCCGTATTTCTAAGACAAGTTGTCCTGGGGTGGTCTTGAGTGACTCCTGCCTTACAGCTGTTTGTATTATTTATATTACACTGGACATAAACATCGTTTCAGTACTTCAGAGAAGAGTACACTGTTAGTGCTCCAGTTGGGTTTTGTAATCCCAATACCAGTTGGAGGCAGGTGGCAGGGGAGGAGGATGTGGGAGGTGGAAGATGAAACATTAACTGTGAATTTCGTGACTGCAGATATTTGAGAATGTTTTATTTTTTCCTGTGTTTTTGTGATATATAGTTATTATACAAAATTTCCACATGCATGAGTAATTTATCAGTGTAAGGCTATTCAGAAGGTATTTTTGCATAAACATATTACTGAACAAAAATATACATTTTTATAATTTTGTTTTTAAATTGTTTTTTGTTTTAATCCAGGGAAAAAGAAGAAAAAGTCTGATTAATAGCCTATAGAATTACTGATAATTCATTAACATCCTTCAGGTGGGGAAGAGATCTCATAAATTCTCTGAGTAAACCCATGCAGTTAGAAGAGGTAACTGAAACCTAAGTTCGTGGCATTGGGTCCCATGAGTGACAGGAATCCATCCAGCATTCTGGCTTCCTGGCCTTCAGTGCTTTTCTGAGACTAAACATAAGAGGACACAGAATTTGTGTCTAACATTTCGTAAACATTGAATGGTTTATGTTGTTAGGGTGAGTGTTTATAGTATACATGAAGAATCAGGAACTTGAGATTCTGGACAGAACTTTCTAAACCTTCCTGAGTGTGACTGTGGGCAAAAAACAGAGCCTCTCTGCTTGTTTTCAAAAGGCAAATGATAAGAACCACTTTTGAGGAAGGTTGTGAAGATTTGAGGACTGAACATAGTTCTAGGCATATAGCAAACATGGCTACTGTTAAAATATATGACTTCTATTTTTAGTAACCCAAAATAAAATCTGAAAACTATTTCACCTTATCAGTAGGCTCTTAAATAAATTGTGTTGAGCAAAAGTTGAATGAATGAATGCTTTTATCTCATCACCTACAGAACAGAACTCTGTTTTATCTGCTGGACAGACCTAACTTAACACTTAGAAAGAGCTGAAACCTCTTTAATTATAAATGTCATATTCCAAGTCAAATTAATATAACATTCAGGACTAGGATTCATACCTTTGCAATTTTAGGAAAGACAGCAGGGAGTGGTGGAACTTGATGTCAGGAGAAAAGCCATGTTTCAGTGTGGGCGACTTCTGCCAGTTTGTGGTTTCATGATCTTGAACAAGTTTCTTATTTCTCAACTGTGATTTCTTTGTAATGTAAGGGAAGTCACACCTGCTTTTTAGATTTGCATGAAGATTAAGTGAAGGTGTTCCCTTTCCTCCAGGGCACTGTATTTATAATACATTCATCCCTCCTTACCTGTGGGGGATTGGCTCCGGGAGCCTCTGAACACAAAATCTGTGGATGCTCAAGTTCCTTCCGTAAAATGGCTCAGTATTTGCTTGTGACCTGTGCGCATCTTTCCATATACATCACATCACCTCCAGATTATTTATAATGCCTAACACAATGGAAATTGTTATTGCGTGGTACTGTTTAAGGGATAATGACAAAGGGAAAAGTCTGTACATGTTCAGTACAAACATAATTTTTTTCAAATATTTGAAATCCAAGATTGGTTGACTCAGTGAATAGTGAGGATAAATTATAGTTATTTTCTGTCTTTCTGCTATATCACCACACTAATGTTAATAAAAAGTTGGGGATTCTTACAGAAAAAATTGCTCTTTGAAAAGACAATTTAGAGTCTTGAAAGATTCTTTTGAGGATATGAGGATACATTTCTACTATAAATGTGTTTTACTCAAAGTTAGTAAAAATCTTTTCCGTGGAGCCAGTGCTTATGTAGCACTAGTCAAGATGGGAAATACCTTGCCATTCCCTGTGCTGAAGATCAGAGGTAGTGGTGTGTGGTAATTTGCCATGTTTATTTTTTCATTTTGCATGTTTTAGTACCATGTAAATGTATTCTTAGATCAAGTGACAGATGGCATAAATGATAGTATAATGTAGAGGAGAATGGATTTCCAGAAACATACGATGAGTTCGTTATCGAGTGGAAGAAGAAAATGACTTCCTTCATATCAATGTTGATTCCCCCAAGTGTCTATGACTCTGTGTTCCCTGGAACCGTGTTGATTACCCAGAAATGAATCAAAGCAGACTTTACTCTTTACAAGCATGCATTTAGCTACGTGTAATCTGTTGAAAACAGCCACACAATGTTACGCTGCTATGTAGCATGTATAATGGCCAAACTACAGAAAACTTGTCTGTACTGATCAAACCCAGTTAAAAGATTACATTAGTTCCAGCACTGTTCAATAGAGACACTGCCCATCTGGCATGCATCCGTATGAGGGGTGAGCAGTGTGAAAAAGGAGTCAGGAAGCCATGTTACATGAAAGAGGATTGAAGGCTTAGCAAAAAATTTGCTTGAAAAAGAATATAGGCGCCGGCACCGCAGCTCAATAGGCTAATCCTCTGCCTAGTGGCGCCGGCACACTGGGTTCTAGTCCCAGTCGGGGCGCCGGATTCTGTCCCGGTTGCCCCTCTTCCAGGCCAGCTCTCTGCTGTGGCCAGGGAGTGCAGTGGAGGATGGCCCAGGTGCTTGGGCCCTGCACCCCATGGGAGACCAGGATAAGCACCTGGCTCCTGCCTTTGGATCAGCGAGGTGCGCTGGCCGCAGCACACAGGCCACAGCGGGCATTGGAGGGTGAACCAACAGCAAAGGAAGACCTTTCTCTCTGTCTGTCTCTCTGTCCACTCTGCCTGTAAAAAAAAAAAAAAAAGAATCTAGGGGATGTGTGTCGCCTGCTTCTGAGCATCTGGACTGAGTAAGGAGCCACATGAGACACAAAGAAATTTAAAGCCTTAAAGATGGAGTTAGCATATACATAAATACAAAGAATAGCTGTAGTCAAAATTGAAAAAAAAAATGCACTGTGGAATTTAGAGGAAGGAGGGATTGCATCCAAAGTTATCAAAAAAGCTTTCAGAGGAGGTATAGTAGCTATGCTGAATTCCAAACCAGGAGAAGGATTGGGATATGCAGAGGTTTCTGGGCAGATATTCCAGGTAGAAGAGCAAATGCAGAGTTTGGAAACATTTCTCTGTTAAAGCCTGATAAACATTCAGTAACTTTCCAATATATAGTTTTTAAAAAATATATATTTATTTTATTTATTTGAAAGGCAGAGCCACAGAGAGAGAGAGGGAGAGACAGAGAGAGAATCGTCCATTTGCTGATTCACTCCCCAGATGGTTGCAATAGCCAGGGTTGGACCAGGCTGAAGCCAGGAGCCCCACATGGGTCTCCCACATAGGTGCAGGTGCCCAACACTTGAACCATCCTCCGCTGCTTTCCCAGCTACATCAGCAGGGAGCTGGATTGTAAGTGGAGCAGCTTGGACTCAAACCTGTGTCCATATAGAATGCTGGTATCACATGTGGGTGCTTTACCTGCTATGCCACAACACTGGCCCCCAATACATGGATTTTTTTAAGAGCTAATTTTGTTGTGTTATGTATAACCATATGCTACAACGTATTTCATGTAAGTCATCCTAAAAAAGTAAAGTGATGAAATGATTAATTTTCTTTCTTTTCAACCACTAAAGTATAGCTCATTTGACATCTTGTAGGGTCTGATCATTACTCTCACTAATGTAATGCCAATCATACTGTGATAGAATAATAAAAGTGAAATCTTGCCAGAGCTCAGAAAGGTATGAAATGAAAGTATCATTTTTAATATTTAATAGGCTTTCATTTAGAAGCAAAACATACTTGTTTCATATTTTTCCGGAAAGCAGAACTAGAATCAGTGAATGGTAAAAGCGGATTTGATCTCAACCTGAGAATTCACCACAACTTAAAATTGTCCAACCACAGACAACACATCAGCCCATTAAAACAGGCAGCTTTTCCTTTATTGAAAAGGCTCACAGAGACCTGCTAACCCTGTGTCAATCATGATTACCATCAAATGAATTTCTGAATCCAGGCAGAAGTAGAACTAGCTGTGCTCTCAGGATCTCCCCCAAATGAAGCATTCTGTATTAGAGTCTGTCTCCCTTCCAGACACCATACAAAGCAGAGTGAAATGCAGGTTCATTTTTCTAGGTCATGGACTGTGCATATTTCTAGACATCAGAATCAGAATGCAGATTCATTTTATGTGAAATTCAATTTCAACATTTCACCTTAGTAAGTCAAGAAAGCAGTCTAATTTCAACTACTTTTACAACTGTTTTTGTGAGTTGTACTGGAAGAAGAGGTATGCTTTTTTAAAAAAACAAAATTCAGATGTTTGGGAGATTATTAAATTACATCAAACTCACTTAGCTATGCCATTTTTATTAGTGGAATTGAATAAATAAAACTAGAATGTTCTTGGCTGCACCAAGCGCTTGGACCAATTCATGACAGACATTTGATTAACTATTTTATAGGAATATTTGCCAAATTGTATATCATCTTGTGTTCAGTTTCACATATTATGAAATCACATATTAACACTGAGTGAGCTTTAAGTCTCAAAGTGGAGTAAGCATTTAGAGATAAGTAAGCTGTCTGCCTTGGTATTTTGGAACTTAAGTAAACTGGTTGTATTTTCTTGATCAGCTAAAGTTAGGTGTAGAAGCAGAAATGTGCTCTGTGAGTCTGACATAGTTCTGTTTGTGTTTTCAGCTGCAGTATTGAAGTATGAGAACAATGTTATGAATATCAGGCAATTCAACTGTTCGCCACATCCATACTGGCTTCCAAATTTCATGGATGTTTTCACTTGGTCCCTGCCATTTGTTGGAGAAAAAGGTATGCTGTGTAATCCTGAAATGTTCTTTATTTTAAGACGGCCTAGGAAAGAAGGAAAAACGTGGTGTCTCTTACCATGTAACACGCAGAAAGAGAAACATTTTGGCCTAACCAGTGAAATTCACAAGTCGTACCATGAAAAAAGTGATTTGAATGTATGCCATTGTGTTACCTGTTAGCAAATACACTAAAAAACATAAGGGAAAATGAAAGAAATGAGTAATATTTGATGGAAGGCATTATACACTTTTAGAACCAGTTCTCTGAAAATAAGTAAAATGAGTTTTCCCTGGTTCCGAACAATAATATCTACCTTTTTTCTTACCCCATGTACTGTGCTTCCATAGTATTATTTTATTTTACAAATTACTTTTCAAATTAAAAGGTTAGAATAGCCATACTTTCTTTACACAACTGATACTAATAATTATTGCATGATAGTGCTTAGAGCTATAATATTTTGAAGGCTATAATATATTTAACAATAGAGTTCATTAAAAATAGTAGGTATTAGTGTGTAATACATAAAATTAGAAAAATTTACATTTAAAATTTTATTTACTTGATCTCCTTTCTATTTAGAAGAATTAGCCTTTTGTCCCTTCCTCCTCATTTCTCTCCTTCTACTGCCCCTTCCTTTCTTTTTTATTCTATATACTAACTGACTTGGACATATTATCACTAGTCTTGTTCATTAACGGTGCCAGGGTAACTCGGGTTGTAGTATAAAGTCTGACTTTTCCCCATTTCTTTCTCTAGTCACTGAGATGCTGGTAAACGTCCTCAACATCTGCTCAGATGATGAACTAGGGTCAGAGGAAGATGGATTTGATGGTAAGAGGCTTAAGCCTTTGCTCTAATGTTGTCTGCCAGGCCAGTACTTGGCATCTCATTGCTAACCCTGAAAATAAATTGCTAAGATTTTGATTGTGTTTATATCACAACTTACTATTGAGAATGAAAGATACAATTTTACCTTCTGATTATGTTTTAAAAAAAGTATAAGAAACGTAAGCCCTGAGTTTCCCGTCAGTTTGAAAACATTGCTGAAGTAGTGAACTATTTTTTTTTAAACTTTTATTTAATGAATATAAATTTCCAAAGTACAGCTTATGGATTACAATGGCTTCCCCCCCATAACATCCCTCCAACCCGCAACCCTCCCCTTTCCCACTCCCTCTCCCCTTCCATTCACATCAAGATTCATTTTCGATTCTCTTTATATACAGAAGATCAGTTTAGCATACATTAAGTAAAGATTTCAACAGTTTGCTCCCACACAGAAACATAAAGTGAAAAATACTGTTTGAGTACTAGTTATAGCATTAAATCACAATGTACAGCACACTAAGGACAGAGATCCTACATGAGGAGTAAGTGCACAGTGACTCCTGTTGTTGACTTAACAAATTGACACTCTTGTTTATGGCATCAGTAATCACCCTAGGCTCTTGTCATGAGCTGCCAAGGCTATGGAAGCCCCCTGAGGTGAACTATTTTTATAATGATCTTTCAGTACCTCACATTGCAAAGTGACATTATTTGGTCCCTTAATGTAAATATAATGCTTTATTTTTCACCAGTTATTGCAGTTCAGTGGGCAACTTTTATAAGTGTTCTTTAGTGGAGTTGTTCCTGTCTGTTATTTAGATTTTGTTTGATATGTTATACATATTGATATATTGGCATTTATTTAAATCACAGTACTTTTTCATATATATAATAATCAAAAATAAACAGGCTAGGAGGGGATTTTTTAATGTGCTGAGACACTATTTGGTATTTAGTTGCTCTCAAAGAGTATACTTTTTTCTACCAGACACAAAGATCCATGAAGTTAAAATGAAAGGGAAAATTAGTCTTACAAAAGCACCTCAGAATTAATGGAAACTAATTAGAAAACACAACTGGAGAAGGAAAATACAAGAGAAAGCTTCATTTCATAAGCATTTAGTAAGTGTTTACAAAATAAGGACACTAAGGATTCCAAGATAAATTAGAGACCTATTTCATGAAGCAAGTGCAGTCTTGTTAGAGAGACTGATGGGTAAGTAGATGATATCAATAAAAATGAGACAAATTACAAAATAAAGGGTGAAGGTGCCAGGGGAAACTACGTACTGTGGTAAACATTACCATCTTTGCTGTTAATGACTGCACTTAGATAAAGCAAAAAGAGAATGCAGCTCTTTCTGAAAGTTAATATCTGAATGACATGATTGAATGTTTTTGTGGACTTAGTACAGGTCATAACTATAAATGCAGAATAGCCAATGCTGCAGGCAAAATAAAGGAAAAATATCCATGTACTCATGTACATAGGGTCTGTATTATTGGATAAATTTAAAGTGTGCAAAGACAGAAATGCCATACTCTTATCATTCATCTGTGGATGCCAAAAATGTTAATCTCATACCAGAAGAGAGTACATCAGTGGTCACTAGAGACGTAAGAAGTGTATGGTCAGAAGGGATGTGTTACAGGTGGGTAGCAACACGCAGTTAGATGGGAGGAGTTAGTGCTTGTGTTCTGTACCACAGTCAGATAACTGTGGTCTACCTCAGTCTATGATATATTACAAAATAACTGGGAAAAACCAGTCCAGTGTCTCCCACTGGATAGAAAACAGCGTTTTTGAGGAAACAGAAATGCTCACTGCCCTGATTTGATTATTGTAATTCTATACTTATATCAGATTATTAATATGTGTAAGTGTTAAGTGCCAGTTAAACTTTTAAGTAATTGTTTTAAAAAGTAGAGAAACTCAAAGAATAATAAAAAGATTGAAAGAGCACAATTTATTCTTAACTTGTCAGTTAAGCTCCATGTTATGACTCCACCTGTCTTCATCACTTTTCTCAGTATGCTGTTTCTGGGTTGTTTCACTTTGTCAGAGGATGCAAATGTGCAGTAGAGGGAAGGAGAGAAAAAATGTAGATTAAAAAAATTGTAACTGAGTGAAAATTAACTTGAGTAGCCATAAGAACTTAATTAAGCAAATACATTGACACATTTTTTAAATGTACAGTTCACTTAGTGCTTTATTTAGATTCTAGATGCTTCATGTTTAAAATATTTTATAGTAACAATCATTGTACATATTTATGGGTTATAATGCAGTACTTTAATACACATATACAGTGTGTACTGAATAAATCGAGGTAGCCAGAACTTCCCTTTCTTTAACATAGCCATAGCTTGCCCAGGTTAACTTTTCCTTCTTATCACTTAGAAGATAATATTTCTATGGTGACAGAAACTTTTTTTCCTAAATGAAGAATACCAACCATATTGAATCTGAATCTAGATGTCAATAAACATTTTTCAATAGTTGCCTATATTCCCTTACTCCTTGTTCCTCACCCATCATAGGGTCACAAATGACACTCCTGTAACAAAGCATAACACACTTAATCAAATTTTATGAGAGGCTTCAGAAATGAAGACCTGTGGAAAACTGTCTGTTTTTATGCGTAGGTTCAATGAAGAATGGACAGCTCTGATTGGTTAGAAAAGCATCATAATTCTAATGGTTACGAAAGGGGATGGGTGAAACCCAGCAAGGCCTGTCTGTCCCGGTTCTTCTTGGCCTCCCTGTGTAGTATGGCTTTCTCCTGAGCACGGGCAGGACACTTGTAGGATGAATTTCTTTGCTGGTGAAGGGAGAAGGGAGACAATGTTTTGCCAGCTATTAGAGTACTGGGGGGAGAGGAGTTCTAGTTCCTATCACCTATATGTAGATCTTCATATGTTTTCAATTTATGTATCATTCCATTCACTTAACAGATATACCTTGAGTACCTATCATGTGCCATGTGCTGCAGTCATAATTGCTGACACATTTCAATACTGCTGGCTATTCCTTACTAGTTAAATATTCCCAAGACTGACATGGTGCTTAATTCCCTTCTTTGTGAGCCTCTTTACCCACCCTTTCCATCACTCACATAAAAGGATGTTCTTTTTTTTTTTTTTACTTATCTGCTTTAAAATAAATAGTTCCAATCAGTGTGCTGTGCTCATTAGCAATTGCTTTTAAGCCCCTTAATTCCAATTTTAGGAGTGCTTGTTCTTTCCAAGGCCCTTGGAAGGATTCTTTCATCCTAAAACAGCATCCTGAAATCTTATTCGACCACCCTGAACTACTCTGTCAGTCCTGCAGAGAACTCTAATTTTGCTCTCCCCAAATTCAAGGCAGGAGATGGTCAGCAGGACCTAGTTTGCCCCTCCCAGCTGGAGCAGATGGGTTTCAATATTAAGGACTTTAGAACCCAAATCAAATGAGTCCTCTTATTTTGTAGCTATGCCTTCTAAATGTGATCTTTTAGCTAAGAGCTCATAAATTTTCCCTTTAAAGAAAAAAAGCAAAGAAGTGGAAGTTTTAAAAGTGTTTTTCACATATTAAGATACTATATAATTCAGAGCAAGCAGTCAGAAGGAGCCCTAGCACTCTTTCAACATGACACAAAAACTATGGATCTCTTCAGAGGTGCTCAAAGAACAATTGCAAAGCTTCCCAGAATGCTTTGATTCTCTGAGAATGCAATTTATTAATAATATGTATTGTCATTTCTTTTTTACCTTTGTTTTTTGTTTTGTTTTTTTTTTTTTGTTTGTTTTTGTTTTTTGGTAACATAACTTCCAATAGCGGGAAAAAATTCTCACTGCCACCACACCAACACTTGTGCTACAAGCAGCCTGCTGGTGCATCCATCCCTGTCTGCCTCTGTGTGTCTGCTTGTCAGCCTTGTTTGTCAGCTGCAGGGGAGGAAGCAGGCATCAGCAGATAGAAAAGGATTTAATAAAGGTCTTCTTTAAGTCGCTGCTTATTCCAAGTGGGGCCACCATCTCATGATAAACCAAGCCTTACTCAATATTTTGTTTCAGATCTAATATCCAACTGAAAAGTCAGAGGTATGGTGGTGCCTTTGCCATCCATAACTCTCTTGTTACTTTACCAGGTTGGCTTCTTAGTATCGATACAGCCTGCAGCAAATAGGGGTTCTCCTGGTTTCCTTCAGGATCCCTCAACTCCTCTTTCCCATCTTAGGATGGTGTTGGTGATGATAAGGACAGCAGCCAACACTTATGTTATCATTGTATGTGGTTTATGTAAATCAGTGTATGATTTGCTGATTCTACCTTTTGGCCAACAAAGTTTGTCAGTTTTAAAGTCTGATTTATTTTACATTTGCTGGGCAGTTTACTGGGCCAATTTATATTATCTCTAATCCTCAGAACAATTTTTTTTGATCTATATATTATTGTTACTCCTGTTCTACACATGCAGTGGTCAAAATTCAGTAAGTTTAATGCCCAGATTTGTAATATTTTGAAATTTCCACTACCTTAGATTATAATGCTTAATATCTTTCCCTTGGAAGCAGCATGATGCCTGTTTTAAACAAAGCAACACTAATAAGCATGCAACATATTTTAGTTTTTCTGCAAAATATGCTATAGAATGATACAGATTCTGTACTCTTCTTTTTCCTCAAAAGTCAAAGTAAATGAAACAGCTTTGTCCTTCTTTTTTTTTTTAAGATTTATTTATTTCATTTGAAAGCCAGTGTTACAGAGAGGAAGTGCAGAGAGAAAGAGAGAGATCTTCCATCTACTGGTTTACTCGTCAAATGACTGCAACAGCCAGAGATGGGCCAGGCTGAAGCCAGGGGCCAGGAGCTTCTACTGGGTCTCCCATTTGGGTGCGGGGACCAGGACCTGGGCCATCTTCCGCTGCTTTGCATTCCCAGGCACATTGGCAAGGAGCTGCAACAGAAGCAGAGCAGTCAGGTCTCAAACTGGTGCCGGTAAGGGATGTTGGCATCACAGAT